GGGAGGGGGGCAAGTATTCTCCTCCTGGGAGTAGCCCTTGGGGTCACACCTGAGAACCCCGAGGGCAGACTCACTGGGCCCAGAAAGGCTGGTCCAGCCCCCTTTCCCACCAGGCAGGGCCCAGGGCGTGGGCATCGCCAATGCCACCTCCCAGCAGCCAAGGTGCCTGTGACCTGCTCCAAGGACCCATCCCTGGTGGCCCCATCCGGTGCCAGATGGTGAATCGCCCCAGGGACTGGAGCGGGAGGTGCAGGGAGGAGGCTGGGGCGCTAATTGCTCACCTGCTGCCAGGCCCTGGGGGGCAGGTATCGGGGGAAGCCTCTGGCTAATTGAACGGTGGCTGCTCCTGGATCGAGGGGTGCTTGGGCTGCCCCTCCCACCTCCACCCACTTCCTGGGACTTGGAGGTGACACGCGTGCTGTGTTCTCTCTTGGGCTGAAACACACGAGCAACCCCTGGGGGTTCTCTGTCGCAGCCTCCTGGCCTCAGGCCTCCCCTGGGCGGTGCCCACCTGGCGACAGAGGCTGCGCGGACTGACCCTCAGGCCCTGCCCTCCCTGCAGTGATGGGGGGGGGGGCTTGAAGGGTCTCGGTGGCCGCAGAGAGGGTCTCACTTCTGTAGAGGAGGCGGCAACCCCAGCTGCCCTCGGGGCTCCAGGAGGGACCCGTGTGTCCAGGCAGGTCCATCGTCCTGCTTCCCGGGCTGCCTGTCACTGTGCCCCTCGGTCGCTGACAGGGTCACCTCCAAGTTCAGCAGCTGGAAGGGGGGCCGCTCTTAGTGGGTAACTGGGAGGAGGGCCGCCCGGGTCTTTCACGAGCTGTGGCGACTGTGTGTGGCTGTGGCTGTGACTGGATGGCGGCCGCCACTTTTCCTCTCCATCTGCTTCCCGCCTCCAGCGAGGCCTGTGGTCCGTCCCCTGTGGGTTTCCCGCGGGAGGAGGGCGTGCTCCGACCTGCCCCGGCTTCGCTTCTGACCAGGGACGCCGCCTGTCTAATTACTTGCAGTAACGAGGGAGGCGACGCCAGTTTGGAGCGCGACCCGAGCTCTCAGGAAGCTGCGAATGAAAGAAGCAGGAAGGCACGGGAGCTAATTGGATTAACACGGAGAGAATGGATTCTGGTCCAAACAGCAAAACGGAGACGGAGGTCGGCGTCGTCCTACCCGGAGCTCGGCCTCATGGCCATCGCCCTGTGTGGGGGGTTTTTTCATCCTCATCGGAGGATATTTTCCCATGAATTTTCAGAGAGTGGAAGAGAGAGGGGAAGACAGAGAGAAATATGGATGTGAGAGAAGCACATCGATGGGTTGCCTCCTGCACGAGCCGGACCAGGGCCCAGACGGGGAGGCGCCTGCAACCGCGGTACGTGCCCTTGACTGGAATCCAACCCGGAACCCTTTGGTCTGCAGGCCGATCTCTATCCACTGAGCCACACCGGTCAGGGCCCATGTGAGTTTTGAAAGCATTGGTCCGAGAAGGAGCCAGGCTTCTCCAGGAAACGAGCAGGAAGTCGTGTATGCAAGACGCCTTTGAACCCGAAGGCTCCGCCGAGCTGAGCAAACGCTGTGTGACACGGAGTTCAGGACCGTCCGCCTGGGGTCGCCGGGAGGGAACCTCAGACCCCCAAGTCCCCGACGGGACCCCTGTTCTGTGTGGTTGAAACTTCCATTGTGTTTATCTGGGACAAAGCCACTCTCCGAGGACTTGACGGCAGTGGGGCTTCTGGGGGAGGGAGCCGGGGTCTGGGGCTGATGGCGGTGACACCCGCCTTGCTCTGTCTGAACCTTTTGAAATTTGTGCCGGTCAATGACTTCCCATTGACAAAAACCCACGGTGGTGCCCGCCCGGCGGGGCTCAGTGGTTGAGCGTCAACCTATGAACCAGGAGGTCAGGGTTCGATACCCAGTCAGGGCCCATGCCCAGGTTGCGGGCTCCATCCCCAGTGTGGGGTGTGCAGGAGGCAGCCGATCCATGGGTCTCTCTCCTCATTGATGTTTCTCTCTCTCCCTTTCTCTCTCTCCCTCTTTAAAATAAATAAAAAATATATTTTTAAAAAACCCACAGTGGTGCCCTAGCTGGTGTGGCTCAGTGGATAGAGTGTGGGCCAAAGGGTCCCAGGTTCGATTCCGGTCAAGGGCATGTACCTCGGTTGCAGGGCCCTCCTCGTCCCGGGCCCTGGTCAGGGCGCGTGCAGGAGGCAACCAATCGCTGTGTCTCTCTCACATCGATGTTTCTCTGTCTCTCCCCCGACCCCTTCCACTCTCCCTAAAAATCAATGGGAAAACACCCTCGGCGAGGATTAACAAGCTCACAAAAAGCCCACGGTGGGAAGAGGAGACAGGCTCAGGGAGGGTGGCCGACCGTGGAACCAGCCAGGAGCGGGTGCAGATCCACCCCCGGTCTGCCACTGTCCGTGGGCCCTGCAAAGCGTGGCTTCCCCAGCGGAGGGGAACCGGCTTCCG